TACATAATATTGCTTTTATGAGAAGCCATCTTCATCGGTCCATATCCGAAGCTCCTTTCTATAAAGAATACTTACTTTCTTCGTATCTCAAAACACCATCCTATAGTCTTCTTTGTCTTGCAATCCCATAGATCAAGGTGTGGAAGGCAAGGAAGGTGGCCTACAATATTTTAACGGTTCAATGAAGGAGACATTTAGAAGTTGTTGTCATATTGCTGCGTCGTGGAGAAGAACAACAATGGATCAATTACATGGGTTCACATTGATTAGAGTGACACGTTCTTATATTTCTACATCAAAGCATGCATTCACTCATTTGCCTAGTACAGGCTACACTTAATAAAGTTGACTTTTTAAGATGAAAGTTCAAGTCTTAATAATGCCTATAACCTCTGTGCAAAATCGCATCCTCCATTTGTCTTTCTCACTCTTCCAAAAGAGCAATGGCATCTCACATTGTTAGATAGCCCTTTATGGGTCGCAAAAGAGAGTTGAAATTTGCTCTTGAATCCATCTAGGACGGCTAGAACAGTGATGTGGAGTTGCACAAGGTGGCAGTCAAACATAGGCATCCATCTGGAAGCAGATGATCGATGCTGGCACCAAGTATAAAGCAATACAACCACTTAATAGACATTATTGAACAAGTTGAAATAAGAGAGACTAAATATTGTTATATATTAATAGTATAAATATAAAACGTGAAAAAAATAATTAAATTAGATGAAGTGCCCAAGTTATGGAAATATGACATTTGTGTGGGATGTTAGGGGTTCGAATTACTCCCCACGCAATTATTAACAAGTCTTGATTGGGCTTTGGCTAAAATATTTTTTTTTATTATTTTATTTATTTTCAAAATTATTTAATGGGTCAAATTAGCTAGTATTTTTCAATCGTTTTTTGTAACAACCCACTACTCACGGTCATTAAAACACTCACTACTTACAGTCATTATTATTCTACATTATTCTCTAGTCATGGAACGGTTACTTCCAATTTTGTCTATATAAAATAATGTCTTGGTTTGGGAAAAAGACACAAAAAAGAAAACAGAAGATCGTTTGAAAAGAAATATTATTTCTCATATTCTGAATCATTTTATACTCGACTTTTTCATATATTCTGAAGTATCTTTGAGAGTTCTAAAAACCATTCGCAATTGCTCCATAAGTGGTTTATAATCGTTGTATTTTAGGAATGATTGTCCAACAGTTATCGACGGGCAATATCACTTTAAGA